GACAATCTGACTACCCCTGACCTACTAGTTTGACCTATGTAGTTGACCTCACAGTCATTGCATGGTATTTTGTAAATAATATTATTTTGTCTAATTGGGTCAACTGGGTCCTTTAACCTACAGAGCTTGTCCCTGAGTGAGTTTGTAGGTTTAAATGCCACCCTAATTCCTATTTTATTCAGAATCCTACGTAGTGTCTCAGATGTCCCCTCTTTATATGGTATAACTGTGGATGACTTATATTCTTTCTTATTTATGTTATTATTACTAGTTTCACAATTATTTTTATTTTGCTTTTGGCCTTTATTGATCTTCCTAATGAATTTTATAGGATAGTTATTCAACACCAACGCTTCTTCTATCTGTTTTAATTCATCATTTAGGTCTTTTTTTGTGCTACTTAGTGCTATTGCTCGGTTTGTTAAACACTTAACTAAGCCTGCCTTAACAGTTAAAGGATGAGACGAATTAAAGTCTAAATATCTATTAGAATGCGTTGGTTTTCTATAAACACTAGTGTGTAGTTTGCCTTCTTCTATTCTTTTTATCTTACAATCTAACATAGCTAATTCTCCTTGTTCATTTTCTGATTCAAATGTGAATTTTATTCCCTCAACTTGTGAGTTTATATGTGTCAAGAAGCTAGAGATGTGTTCTGTTTTTAACACTGTGAAAGTGTCATCCACATATCTCCACCATATTTTCGGAGTAGGGTTAAATGTATTGAGGGCACTATTTTCCCAGCTGTCCATAAATATGTCTGCTACGATAGGGGATATTGGTGATCCCATTGCTACACCTTCTGTTTGTCTATATATTTTGCCTTGGAACTTAAAGATAGTAGATGTGAGGCATAACTGAATCCTAAAATAATTTCTTCAATGGACAGCTTTGTCCTATGACTGAGTTCCGGATCCGCAGTTAATTCTTTTTTAACTGCTTCTAAGGCCATATTAACTGGTATATTAGTATAAAGACTAGTTATATCAAAACTAACCATTGTTTCATCATTCGCTAGTTGAATGTCATTTATTTTATTTTTCATCTCATATGAATTAGTTAATCTAGAGTTTGAACGATTTCTAATGGGGCATAGTATTAGAGCTAAGTGTTTTGATAATTCATACGTGGGGGTATTTCTAAAATCTACTATTGGTCTTATGGGGTAACCTGGCTTATGTATTTTTATAGTACCATATATTCTACTAGCATTATTAGTTTTAGGCATTAAATTAAACCATTTAGACTCACCCAGTGATGGCTTCATTCTGCGTATTAGTTCCGCTGTAGATTTCTTAACCTTATTCATTATTGTATCTACAGGCTTCTTAATTTCCTCATATGGACCCGTTTGAATATGTTCAGTAACTTTTTTGATGTAGTCAGATTTATCCAAAACTACGGTGGCGTTTCCTTTGTCAGCTTTTGCGATGACAATGTTTTTATCCTGTTTAAGACTAATTAAAGCTTCCCTTTCCGATTTTGTTAAGTTTGATTTTGTTTTCTTTTGATTTTTTAGGGTTAATGCACATTGTGCTCGAACCTCTTCTGCTGTAGTCTTATCTATTGAGTTTAGTGCTGCTTCTATGTTAGGAATGACGTCCTCTGGTTTTAATTTATTAACTGTTACGTTGAAATTTAGTCCTTTTTCAAGTACTTTTATCTCATTAGAGTTTAGTTCCCTTGATGAGAGGTTGATCACCCACTTTGTTCTGTCGATAGAGGATGAAGCATTGATATCAGTTTCATTTGTTGTGTTCTTTTCTTCTATTAGTTTGTTGAATTTTTTGATTTGCGTGATTTTTGATTTTCTTAATGCGGATTCTCTAGCTTTGTTGGATGTTTCAACAACAATTATATAATCTTTGTCATTGATCATACATTTGAGTTTGTGTTTGAGTTTTTCAATTTGATTTCGTGTATTATTTAGTTTTACAGTAACTCGATGTAATTCTTCTCTTAGACATAATTTACTGACATGTTCTGCGGCTGATGTTATTTTGTTTGAAGTAATTGGAGTACGTAGACGTAAATATTTTGGAATTATATGGCTTTTTAAACATCGACTGTTAAAAATCCGATGATTTGTAAATCTTGCTTCAGTTTGACTAAGTCGTGTGAGTTTGTTGATAAGCTTCCTAGTAGGAAGACCATATGTATCATTGATATAAGAATAAAACTTGTGCACTGTGGTAGAGTGTAATTCCATTATGGGTAAATTTTGTTTTGATAAAGTCTCACAGTGTTATACAGTAATGTTTACTGATGACGTTTCGAGCACAATTTATTGCTCATAATCATATCAAGGTAATCACACGACTTCCTAAATTCATTTAAACCTACAAACTCACTCAGGGACAAGCTCTGTAGGTTAAAGGACCCAGTTGACCCAATTAGACAAAATAATATTATTTACAAAATACCATTCAATGACTGTGAGGTCAACTACATAGGTCAAACTAGTAGGTCAGGGGTTGTCAGATTGTCAGAGCATAAGAATTTAGCTAAGGTAAGAATGGTTGACCCCGAGAAGATAAGTAATTTAGAAAAAAGCTCAGCAATTGCAATGCATGCGCTAACACACAACCACACAATAGGGTGGGAGAGGGTTAAAATTCTAAAAAGTAATCTAGGTAGGTGGAGAGAGAGGTTGATTACTGAATCCTTGTTCATCGAGTCTACACCCAATACATGCAATAGGAATGACTCATCACTCATACCTGAAATATGGAAAATACTATTACCAATCAAATCAAGAGAAAATCAAGAGAAAAACAATGGAACTATATAAATGAATTTAGGAAGTCGTGTGATTACCTTGATATGATTATGAGCAATAAATTGTGCTCGAAACGTCATCAGTAAACATTACTGTATAACACTGTGAGACTTTATCAAAACAAAATTTACCCATAATGGAATTTTCGATGTATTGTTTATTATATGAAAAAAGTTCATTCAGCGTACTGAGTTAGATTATGACGAGGTTATCATCCGCACGTCCTAACCATATTTTTAGAGGATTAGGGCATCTCATAATTATATTTGTTTCTAGTAAGGGCATAAACAGATTGACAACTAAAAGAGATACTGTTAATCTCACTGCAATGGCTTCTGTTTCGACCATAAAGAACCCATTTAGGCAAAGTTCAACAATAGCGTCCAAGGAGTGCGAACGCACGAGTTACCTTCAACTGACCAATCATAAAAATGAGGAATGTTTACTCAAGAAAATGCTTGGAAATGCATTAAACAGGTTATCTTTCTCTGACATGTCTTAAAAATACGTCCTAGTTGCAAAGAGGAGTATCAGTTGCTAAGTTAGACTAGTTTCTGTACATGTATTCACCGAGATGACTGCAGATAAACCGTTTTTTTGAATCGTTTATCGCTCTCATCCTGCTTGCAGTCTTCCAAAAAAGCCCTCGGTTGGATTACTGTGGTTTCTAGTAATAGGATCGACGACTACTCACCAGGAAAACATGGATAATAAAAAGATTATAATATATGACATCAGCCATAAATCTATCCCTAATCGTAACCATAAGCTTAATCCTGACCCTAACACTAAACGTAACTTTAATCCTAACTCTAATCATTACCCTTATTCAAACCGTAATTCTAACCCTAATGCTAATTATAACCCTGATCCTAACCCTAACGAGCTATTAATACATCGTCCAAACAGTACTTAAGAATGTGAACTGGGTGAAATTTGCTCCTAAGTTGGTGAATAACGTTGATATTCCAGCCATGATAATGACAGACGCCGTTAGCCAACGACTAGAATGCGTTCAAGGTAATTGGAGCGTTCGCACTCCTGGGACGCTATTGTTGAACTTCACGCCCATCTAAATATAAATAATGTGGAGCGTAGATACAATCCCACTACCTTCATAATTTCATCTGCATTTAAAGGGCAACAAATACTGAGTTCGTAATCATTACGAAGTGCATTATACTCAAAGAATCTTTAGTAAGAACATTCGTGAATAATGAATAAACATCGAAACTTGCCATTACTTCATCTTCTTCAATATAAGTCGTGTTGACTTTTCTCTTAAATTCATACAAATACTTCACTCCATCTTCCACTTTCATTTCATATGTTCTTAATATTTGATAAATGTATTTGTAGAGTTTGTAGGCTAGAGAATTAGTAAAATCCCCAGCTAGATGCAATGGAACATCTGGTTTAATGTATTTTTTGTAATCCATAAAATCTACAAAGACTGCAACTTTTTGAAGCCAGAGTGATACACCGAGTTTCTCTATTATCGACTATAACATTTTGATTGCATGGAGGATTTCACCAGGAGCTGACATCAGTTAGAGAACCACTGGAAGACCTGGGAGTACTTGACAGCTGTTTCGCCCTAGTTTGAGACTCTTCAGCAATACGCACTCACAGGGGTTCGAACCCAGGACCTTCTGGTTACAAGACGAGCTCGTAGACCGTTGAGCCACCGGTCCTAGAATTATAACTTCTGCCAATTCACGACACAGCGTGACCACTTCGCAATGTCTTCTTCGATGACTTACTGCCTCATCTTCAACCTGCTGTACCCTACTGGACCATTGGATCGGGTCCCAGTGGCTCAATGGTCTACGAGCACGCCTTGTAACCAGAAGGTCCTGGGTTCGAACCCCAACGGGCTGGATGCGTACTGCTGAAGAGTCCCAAACTAGGACAAAACAGCTGTCCAGTACTCCCAGGTTTTCCAATGGTGAAATCCTCCATGCAATTAAACAAAATCCCTACAAAACCAATACTTGAAAAATATAACATTTTTCTTGCTTCACAGCCTTCAATTTATTCAATATCGCCCTTGACTTTTTCAAAGGGTCCGATATCGGATGTCAGCTCTAAGTCATCGAAGTGTTCAGTAGCTTTCTTTTCATAAGGTCTACAGAGAGATCATAACAACCGTGTTGATATTGTCTTTATCTGCTCATACCAGTTACTCACTTACGGTGTTTATTCCTATATTTCTTTACAGGTTTAATTAAAGATTATACTCAAGAATATCGTCCGGCTTTTCTATTCCTTGGTGGAATGCAATTTCTGGGTTTTTTAACAGTTCTCTGTGCAATAATATGGGCTAGAATAAATGCTCGTAAAAGAATAGAATTAGAAGTTTCTGAAAATTTAATACATAGCAGTAGTTTGGGCAATATATCTGATATATCATCGCATGTCTTGAATACAAATGCCATAATCCCATCGTCAGCGTCTTCGTCAAATGAATTATCCACCAGTAGAAATGATGAAATTGTACCAGTTGTTGTGACCAAAACTGACAATGATATACCTACACCACAGAGTTCAAGAATATAATTGTTTATAAAAGAGTCAGTTATGTAAGTAAGCAAATGTATTTACTCATATCATTGTTACATTATTATTATTATTGTTTCCTTTAGCTCCTAGAGGAACATAGGACCTCAGCCGAACGTCTCCATTGCGTTCGGTCCTCTACCAATGTTTTCATCTGGCTCCACGTCTGCCCCCATGCTTTCATCTCTTCTTCCTACCACCTCCTCCATGTCAACCTCGCACTGACGATCACCTCACCGCTTACCATTCCAGTTCCAATATAGCGATGGCCTGGCGTGTGACGTCACTCACTTGATGGTTTGTTTTCCCAGAGTATCACCAATCCAAACCACCTCCGTTTCTTCCTGCATATTTATTCCAAAATTGATTCCTGCTGGGTTGGTTCGTTCATTGACAGAGATCCCTGTTGCTGATCTTCTCTGGCTGGTCATGTGATCCTGAGCGTTGAGCGAGGACAGCTGTTGATGAGGGTGTGTAGTTTGTTCGAAGTGCCTTTCGTGATGCGGCGCCAAGTCTCTGATCCGTATAGTAGCACTGACTCCACACTGGATTTGAAAATTCGGATCTTATTTTTCCTGCTGAGTGCTGTTGACCTCCACACAGAGTTGGGAGTAATGAAAGCTTGCTTTGCTTTCCCGATCCTTGCTTTGATATCCTCGTCAGTTCCACCTGTAGTTGAAACGATGCTTCCCAGGTAGATGGGTAGGTGAAGGAGGTTGCTTCTTTCAGATTTCTTCCATTTATGCTGGCTGATTGTTGGCTGTTTTGGTTGGCTAGGAATCTCCATCACCTCTGTTTTCTCTATGTTCTCTGGATGCTTCTTCTCTCAACTTGTTGCTTTTCATTTGCATATCTTTCAGTTTGTGTGAAATCATACATATATCATCGGCGAAGTCCAGATGCTTGAATTTTTTGGTGCGGATCCATTTTATGCCTGTTTCCTCCCTGCCCGCTATTTGTCGCATCATCCATTGTTAAATGATTTATTGCATTTATATATAGTTATGTGGTTAATGATGGGAAGTAGCATATTCCATCTAACAGTCATCAGTTAGATGTAACTGCGTCTCAAGTGACTGTGATGATATTCCCACCGACACTCCATTAATTTCAAACTTCAAGGCTGTTAGGATCTGCGTCACCAGTTGAAATGAACTCATCGCCAACTTGTCGCCAATTAACATGATTATGTCGACAGTTGATGTGACTGAGTAGACTTATGCATGAATATAATGATATTGACGCAACGAATAACTCGAACTGATGCGCTGGATACACCTATTCGTTCATCTCACCTTCCACTTCAATGAGCCACGCAAAATATCAAAATACAAAGACTGACCTGTGAGTGTTAGGATGCAATATGATTAGGAAAAAAGATGTCACATTTAAATATTTCTAAGCACCTTAAAATTTGCCCTTGGCAATGGAAATAGACTGATTCTGATTGTTAGACAATTCGGCTGGGTCAGTGAAAAAATAAAAATATTCTGATTTGTCGACGATTTGACCTAAAAACATGATGAGAAAGAGATGATGACACTTTACAGTCATTCGATAACACGGTGAATCATAAGCTGATTCCTGTCAAAGGCGTTGTCCAATAGACCACTGGTGTTTGAAACGGTGTATTCTGCGTCTAAGTCAGCAGCAAGAAAAACACCATCACTAATTAGGAATGTAAATACATTCGAATGACAAGTTCCATACAGGAACAAATACATATCGTCAATTGTACTTCTAGCTACCATCAATCAAATAGCACTGATCTTTGATCTTCAGACTTCTCTGTCTAAGAGTCCATATTAGGATCCAACATTTCAACAGAGATCAAGTATTATGGTTCATAGGAGTTATTGAGAAGACAATTGCAGCGAAGAAAAAATAGGAGACCAAAAGCGTGTGTATACAGTTCAGTGACAGAACATCTGGTCAATTCAGGACATTCAGCGCCTTTAAAAAATTCCTTCAAAGGAATATACAAGATTCAATCGAACCTATCAAAGGGAGTAAAATCAAGACATTTGGGCGTAGCTGAGGCGCTAGCTATCCAAAAGCTCAAACCCACGCTTTGTATACAAAAGAAATACGTCAAACACCTGTCCCTGCTATGGCCATCATAAACAGGTAAATTTTTGTTTGGTAATGACCATCCCATCGCCTTTCTTATCTAAACTTCCTGTTTATTCATGTTATTCTTTTAAGTTTTATTAATCCCTGTTTACACTACTATATTTTCATATCCGAACTTCGTGTTTATTTTGTCATTTTACTATTTCTACATATTTAATCCCTGGTTGCATAAACAATTATTCATCACATTAGTTTTTGTTATCCAAACATCCTATCTGTTGTTGTTATTTCTACATTTCTAACCCCCGATTACACAATGTCAATCTTCTTAGTTATTATGATGCTACTTTGTTTAAGTTTTATCCGTCCCCCTGTTTATTATAGCATTCTAATTCCTAATTGTAATTTTTATTAATTTGACCCTTAACCGGAAATTATTCTGGAACTTTCCCATCCATTTGATGTAAATACACGAATGTACAGCTGCCTAGATGATGACTTCGTCGAAAAAGAAATTTTCTTCGCTCGAAATTGTCTTCTTATTAACTTCTATGACCCAATGTGTATATTGTGGTTCAATAAAAATCAATTAAAGGAGAAATGTGAAGTAACTTAAACATTTTTGGTATCGTGATGGCTTATGCAAGCGTTCATGCATAAAGTAGCTAATTAAAGGAACAAATACCCAGTGTTCCGCGAGATTATTATTGACGTCGTTCAAAGCACACAAATGTTCTAAAAGACAAAACCAGGCTAAAAAGCCTTCTTTAAATAGACTGGAAAGTGGCATTTCTAGAGATATGTTTCATCAGCTTAAGTACTAGAATTCCAGTCAGTATTATGAAATAACAGGCCTCGCATAACAGGTATGGATCATAAGCTAGTTAGCAGCAAAGACCTCTGTTGACAAACCATCCAAGAGCTGATTGCTTAACAAATATGTGGGAGAAAATGGAAATAGATTTGGCATATGTTTAGGAGTCTGTCGAATGATATGGTGCTCATATGCAGGCCAAACCTCGAATGGAATCCAGATGAGAAGCAACGAGTGGGTCATTGGTGCGAAAGTGACATGGAGGACATCATGTGAGTGATCACGGGCAGTCATGGACCAATCTGAAGAGGACAGCAGAAAATAGAAGAAGGTGGAAATGTGTTGTTGAAGCCCTATTTCCCGTTCGGAACCCAAGAGAATATTCATAATAAATTAGAACCTAGTACAGAGTAACTGAAATCTAGGTAGAAATGAATTTTATCAGTGGGTGTGTACTAGCTATTCGGTAGTGTAACTAAACAACTGTCTTTTCCCGCCTTCACTTCAATTTTGTCATTCAACAGTAGTGGATTCTATGAAACTGTCAATATTTCCCGTCGGTTGAAGTGGGAAGTCTAAATATCCTAATGAATCAAGTTCTGCTGCTTCTGGTTATTCAAAAAGGTGTGCTACCACCTAATCAACTTTCAGTCACACAAACAGTGTATGTGTTATATTAATACCTGAATTAGTTGCTTTAAGCTTGAACTGTGAAGTTTTAGTTGCAGTGGTTTTGTTCTTACACGGTAGGCTTGCTAGCCTCAAACTCAACCTTTCCTGTGTACTGGGCTTACATCCAACTGGCTAGGAGAGATTGAGGAGTACACCAGACGGGAGTCGAACTCCGAATCACATTGATGGTAGCTGATGTGAGCTAATAATAATAAATGTGTCTAAAAAATGGGGGATACAACTGATTTCAAATCACATTTTGTGATAAAGCAAGATTGTTTAGAGTATTAATGAAAAGTAGAGAATAGTAGATAGCTAGATTACTTGTTTCACTTCAACTTTAGACTCATCAGTGGTTCAAAAATGAGATTTTGATTAGTATTCCGTTATTCGGAATGATCCCTAAAGTTATGTCAGTTTATGTTTAGTTATACATTGAAGAAAATGAAGTTATATTTCATTAGGATTGCTTGAAAGACTAGACAGATGTTAATCTCTACTTTAGGTACCCTTAACAATGTTCACTCATGACTCAATCAGCGATTGAACCCAGATGCTTCATCTTATGAATCCTGCCCATCCACTATTCAGTCACTGATAATCAGTCAATTTTTAACTTCCGTTAATTGATGACATTCATGAGTTGGTTTGTAGGTTAATATATGTGTAAAACTTGGGCACTGTGTTGGTAGTAAGTAATTCCATATTAGTTTGTTTATTAGATGTATCACCACACAGTGAAACAGTATTGTCTACTGGATGACGTTTCGAACACAATTTATTGTTCATAATCATATCAATTGTGGTCACACGACTTTGAGATTTGAGTTTTATGGTTTTCTTTGTCGTCTCCTACGACAAATAGGACGAAACAGCTATCCAGTACTCCCAGGTTTTCCAGTAGTTCTCTAACTGATGTCAGCTCATGATTAAATCCTCCATGCAATTACAAAATTATTAAAGATTGTTTGATAAGTGAATTGATATCAAAAATGTCAAGTGTTGTCTAAAAATTTTAAAAATTAGGAGTACGATTACGATAAGAATGAAGATGTGAAGTGAAGTGGAAAGAATTCAAGTGGTAAAATAAAATAAAAACTAGAAAGAACATTATTATGACCAAGGTAAAGAAAGGGGTTCGACAAAACGTTTTTGAACACACATAATTTAGGTTTCTGTTCATGTATAGCTAAAGCTTCGGCTAGCTATGCATAAGTGAAGAACACGTAAACTTTTTGATCGATTCGATTTTGCCACGTATATAACTTTGAAGGATGAATCAGGTGGGATTAAATGACCAGACTCTAACATGTGATCACAAATAGACGACTTGGCAGTTCTACTTTCGCCTTTCATTAACCAAACCACCGGATAGTGTTCAGCTATACGTTGTCGGAGATTACGCTTACAACGTCCAATATAAACAGATCCACATGAGCAGGTAAAAGAGTAAATGCACATAGATGTGGACAAAAGCGATAATCTATCCTTGATGCATTGTCTAATCATATTTCGGCTGGTAAAAAGTAGTTGCAAGTCAGCTGCAGGAAAAGTGGCGTTTAATACATTTGAATAAACGATTTTTAATCAATTCCGAAATAGTGTCACCTTTGAATGCAAGACTCACAAACAGTTTTTTTTCCTTTGCTACTGTCACTTATCTCGGGGCGTATTCTTTCTTGATGTTATGTGTTCATTGAACGTATTTTTCGAGGTTTATTTTACTGTTTTTTTTTTCATTTAATTTTCCTTATTTTAGGTTAACAAATTCTCAGTATGGGAGGGTTTCGCATCCTTTGAACGTCGTCAACTTACTACTCAAACAAAACTGATGTGACCATTTTATAGCTGAAGGAACCAAAAAAATCATATTCTAATTTTGTTATTATTATTCTTATCATTATTATTGTTATTATTGTAATAACATGCTATCAAATCAAATCTTGATTACAACAGATTACTTCAAATTTTGCTTAAATCAATTTAAGATAGATACCAAAGGTTTATTTTTTAACTTGCTGCTCTGTCCCCCTTTATCTAATCACACACACACACACACATACACACCATTTCTCCCTCCATCATCATCATCATCCTACCAGATGCTGATTCTAGTAATATATGTCTTTTGCTTATCGAATCAAATCTCATCCCCACCTTCTTCTTTATTCTGTTGCTATCGTTGTAGAGATGCTAAGTAGTCACTGTGTGTTTGTGTGTGTGTGTGAGTGAGAGTTCTCTCTTCCGCCGCCCACCCCCACCCTACTTTTTATTGTATCATCTTGTATTTCGTCTTTCCCTCCTCTTCCTCCTCATCCTCGTCTCTGCATCCATCCATCTGTCTATCTCTGTCTGTGTATTGGTAGACTATGAATCCTCAAATGACGGAGGATATTTCCCAGTGTAGAGAATTTGTCTTCCACATCTCTTCTTCTGTTTCGATTTAGCTATGAGTATTTTTCATATCTTTTCTCTTTTTTTGTGAAACATTATTATGATCTCATTTTTCGTTTCAGTTATATCATCAACTGTTTACAGACAGAGATCAATCTGTGTGTGTGTCTGTGTAATGCTGATCCGTTCATCTTATTCATACTACACACGTATGCACGCACACACACAGTCAATTACGCACAAACGAACAAAATCTATACTACACACAGTATGCATGTAAATAAGCACTTTCGTTTTTCATCTTATCAATTCTCTTTTGTTTGTTTGCTTATGTTATTTTTTAGACTTAAATTAGCCTGTTAGGCACCCTCCATTCCCTTGAATCAGTTTACATGTATAGTCACAAGTGTATATATATTTAAATGCATTCATTACGTATATATTGAATTCAATGAAAAAAGAATAAATAATTAGAAAATAAAAACTTCTTATTGTCATGATTATTATTATGATTTTTCAAGAGATGATCTGTAAGGACAGGGGATTTGTTTTACGAGTTTGACCACGGATTAATATCAGTTAGAGAAGTATTGAAAATTACAAAGGGACAACTGTTTCACCCTAGTCTGCGGATCATCGGCAGTATGTGCTAACTGCCAGGGTTTTATTATAATAATATATATATATAATATATATATGTACATTATTATACATATATATATTATTATTATATCAATCGTCTAAGTGTTACATGTCCAATTTCACTGTGTCTAGTGTTTGTGTAAATGAGTGGATAGAGAGTTTAATTTCTGTATGTGAAGATCTTACTATTCCTGGAACAAGAGAGAGACAGTGAGATGGCGTATTTCATGGAATTCTCGACTACTAACCACTAGATGCCTATCTGCTGAGTACACAGCTCCAAAATCTACTTAGTGAAGTCATACAGTTATGCATTATAATTAAGGTGATTTTGTATTTCCCAATGAATGAAAAACAAAACGATATTGTTGTTTTTACTTACATTTCGCTATTTAATGCTAATAACTTTATAACTGTATTAGTATTAAACCAGAATTTGCAAAATCTCAGCTTATATATAACAACTTAGTCATCATTCCTCAGCAGGGGTTCATTTTTGCGTTGTCAGGTCGGCCATTTGGTAAAGATAATAAAACCAGGTGTAGATTGTTGGATTTGATAAGTGTATAACATTGTAAAAGCAGTGCGTGTTAACATAGTGAACTTGCTTATCACACTCGTGTTGAATTTGTCACTTCATGGAGGAGGGGGTTGTTGTTTTAGTCCATCATTTCTATTCGGACAATTCAGATTCGATTGGATAGGATTGGTGAAATGTTTAAGTGACACAGCACAAAACTAAGTAGTACTAAGGGAAATCTAAGACAAGAAGTGATACACATAAAAGAAGCCTTGAAACTTAATAATTATCCTGATAAATTAGTCAGGAAATATGTAAGGAAATCTAAAAATAAAATAAATAATGATGGTAGCGATAGTGATAATAATAATAATGACGACATGCATGTCAAACATGCGCAAGATAACGACAGCACCAACAATAAGGAATCTAAATCATCAGTAGTAATTCCATACAAGGAAAGAAACCTCGGAAACCACCTTATGCACAATTCTTAACAAGACAGTAATAAAAGTGGCTGGCATTCAAACCGACCACAAACTCAATTAGAAACAAGCTTTGTAGGTTAAAGGATCAATCCTATGGGAGTAATTAATCAAAACAACTTAGTTTATCTAATACCCTGTCTTCATTGAGTGTCAGGTCAAATACATAGATCAAACTAGTAGAACAGGGGCAGTCAGACTAGCCGAACATAAAAAACTAGCAAAATATAGATTGGTTGACCCAAATAAGATAAGAAATCTGGAGAACAGTTCAGTTATAGCACTACATGCAGTGACACACAACCATACAATAGGATGGGATAAATTGACAGTTTCAAAATCTAATGTTACAGGGTGGAGGGAGAGATTGATAACGGAGGCCTTGTTTATCGAATCAACTGCAAATACGTATAATGTGAATGATTCAACACCTATCCCAGATATATGGAAAATTCTACTACCCCTACGACAAATAGGAGAGGACAAAGAAAACTATTAAACTCAAGTTTCGAAGTTGTGTGATTATAATTGATATGATTTTGAAGCAGAATAAATTGTGTTCGAAACGCCATCCAGTAAATAATACTGTTTCACTGTGTGATGCATCTAATGAACAAAGTAATATGGAAGTACTTAATACCACAGTGCCCAAGTTTTACACGTATACTATTAAGGATTGGGTTTGTTTATCGAGTTTGACCACGGATTGATATTGGTTAGAGGACCATTGAAAACCAGGGACAACTGTTATATCCTAGTTTGCGAATCACCACTCACTGCCAGGGTTCAAACTCGGAATCTCCCGGTTACAAGGCAAGCTGGCTAGTATACGATTCAGCCACCAGGATCCAATTCAATGGTTAGCTCATGAATTCTAACTTTACGAATTAGTGATTTTAGTATAACCACCAATCCAATGTCCCCTTGGATTCTGAGCGGAACATAGGGCTTCAGAAGCATATTGTTGTTGATTGACCATATGATCGCCTCCGTGTTACACACTTGGATTCATGTTCAGGTAGTCTTTTCCTATTCGAATTCCATATGAAGGCCTAGAACGTCATATCACTCCATGGTTTCTTCAGTGTATGTTCAATGGCTTTCTACTTCATTCTGCCTATTTGTTGGATGATTGGATAGTTTCTTGGTTGATTTGTTGTCTGGTGGAGTTCTTTGCCGTTTATCATTTTAAGGCTGGCTAGCTGACATTCAATGAGGGGAGAAAGAAGGAGCTGTTGAAACTACTTTCTGTGACTAGTTAAGTCTTTGAAGCATACAGGAAGGAGTACTGATTATCTTGATATTTGGTTGTACAGAAGACTTTCACAGTGTTTTGAAATTAATGAAGATCTGTCTTACTTTCCTGATCCTAGCTATCTTTGACATCTTCCTCCTTATCCGTTTCGAATACTTATCGGTTTTTACGTACGTAATCTTCTTATTGTATGATATATGACCTTGCTGTATCAATTGTCCAGGCAGGTTATCTAAAAATCTGAGTGTTATATCTTCAGTTTTACTGTGTCTAGTGTTTGTGTAAATAAGTGGATAGAGAGTTTAATTTCTGTATGTGAAGATCTTACTTTTTCTGGAACAAGACAGAGGCAGTAAGATAGAGTATTTCATGGAATTCTCGACTACTAACCACTAGATGCCTGTCTGCTGAGTACACAGCTCCAAAATCTACTCAGTGAAGTTATACAGTTATGCTTTATAATTAAGGTGATTTTGTATTTCCCAGTGAATGAAAAACAAAACGATATTGTTGTATATAACAACTTAATAATCGTTCCTCAGTATGGGGTCATTTTCCCGTTGTCAAGTTGGCCAATCGGTAAAGATAACAAAACCAGGTATAGATTATTGGATTTGGTAAGTGTATAAAATTATAAAAGCGTCATGTGTTTACATAATGAAATTGCTTATCACATTCGTGTTGATTTTGTAATTTCATGGGGACGGGGAGGGTGTTGTAATCAGATCAACTTCTGTTTTAGTTCATCATTACTATTCACCAGACAATTTGAATTCCATTTGATACGAAGTCCTTCTATTCTGCTTCTCACTCTGATATGATTATGAACAGTAATAAATTGTATTCGAAACTTTGTCATCCAGTAAATAATACTGTTTCACTCACAGTGTGTTACATCTAATTAAACAAAATAATATGGAACGAAGTGCTTCTGATGACATTAGACGTTCTTTGTGATTTCTGAAATGCTTTTTCTGGATGATGATTTCAATATTGTCAAAAATCAATTTTATGGCCCGATTCTATAGCGTGTAGACCTATAGCTGCCTCATGATATTTCTCAGGGATCATTGATTGAGAAATACAAAATAACCTGTACTACAATGATTATTATATACTCAATGCCCAAATTTTTTCAAACTGTTAAAAGTGAACTTAGTTTGAACTTATATAACATATAATTATAGACGAGATGTACTCTGGAAATTTTTCGGCGCTAAGACATCAGGCATATCCTCAATATCTAAACGGTTGTGATTACTACAAAAAGTTTAAACGACCTCATTTCATCTACAGCTAGGCATCCTGAACTCAGCACTCTTTGGGTCCTAGAAACATCATACTTTTTTTTAACTAGAATGGCTCCAGTTCATTGTTTACTGAAGTCGATGTGCCCGACTTACCATATTCTTCTAAATTTAAATTTACTAAGTATACTGATGATCTAACTGTCTTGACTGTAGGTATTTCTGCATTAGATTATACTCGTATGAATAATTTCTTATCTGGAGTTAACCGATGATTTTATTTAAATGATCTCAAACTGAGTTCCTCTAAAATGTAATCCTGTTTATTTTAGTTTCAGGTGTGAAGAAGACTTGTATGGACTGATTCACTCGCATGATTTATTGTAATATTGACAGCAGTATGGTAGGAAGTCAATTCAGTATTATATATCTCGCTCAATGGGTATTTCCAATTTCAAAGAAGATGTTTCATCTGACCTACTAAATAAGGAAGTTGGGACTTCTGGGTATAAGTCAACCTCTTTTTTAAAAATTTATCAATTCGTATATTCTATCCATTCTTTTATATTGTTCCTACCTCATTCTTCTCTGGGCTCCTGAAAAAAGACTCATGTATATTACGTAACATTCTAAAGGCTGTGAGCAAAGTAAGTGGTATGTATTTGACGCTATTGTTGACGGATATTTGAATTCCAGCAAATAGTTGGATAAGAGCGTCTTGTCGGTTAATCAACACCCTCCTCATTCACAAATCCCTACTAGTACCTCTTTATGAAAGGCGGGAAATAGCTTTATTAAAATTTATCTTCGTATGATCATATGTGAGAATTTAACCGTCCCGTATTCGTTTCAGCATTTCGCCATGAGCTGACATTAGTTAGAGAACCACTGGAAAACCGACTGGGAGTACTAGACAGCTATTTCCACCTGGTTTCGGACTCTTCATCAGTACGCACTCGCCACTAGGGTTCGAAACCAGTATCTTCTGGTTCCAAGGCGAGCTCACAGGCCATTAAGTTACTGGGACACGATCCAATAACCAGGACATGAATTCCAACTCCTGCTAATTCACGATATAGCACGATCACTAGCCAACGTTATCGGCGAGTATTGGTCCTCATACTCAACATGCTATACCCCACTGATCACGAATTCCAATTGGGACCCAGAATAGAGTCAGTCGCTAGTGAGCATCTCATTGTTATTCAAGTGTTGGTTTGTAAGGATTTGCTTGATTACAGGATTTCATCATGAGCTGAGGTCGGTTAAAGGACTGTTAGAAAACCCTGGAGTACTGGTTCCGAACCCACCCACCGATGAAGAGTCCCAAACTAGGACGAAAC